AAGATGCTTGATATGATTTCAGTTTTCTTAAATTTACTGAGGCTTGCTCTATAGCCCAGCATGTGATCTATCCTGGAGAATTTCCATGTGCACTTGAGAAGAATGGGTATTCTGCTGCTTTTGGATGGAATGCTCTGTAAATATCGATTAAGTCCATCTGCTCTAGTGTGTCACTTAAGGCCTGTGTTTCCTTACTGATTTTCTGTCTGGATAATCTGTCCAGTGATGTAAGTGGGGTGTTAAAGTCCCTCACTATTATTGTGTTACTGTTGATTTCTCCTGTTATGGCTGTTAGCAATTTGCCTTATATCATAAAGTGCTCCTATGTTGGGTGCATATATATTTACAAGTATTATATCTTCTTCTTGGACTGATCCCTTGATCATTTTGTAGTGTCCTTCTTTGTCTCTTATAACAGTCTTTAAAGTCTATTTTGTCTGATATGAGTATTGCTACTCCAGCTTTCTTTTGATTTCCATTTGCATAGAATACCTTTTTCCATCTCCTCACTTTCAGTCTGTATGTGTCCCTAGATCTGAAGTGGGTCTCTTGTAGACAGCATATATAGGGGGTCTTGTTTTTATAATCATTCAGCCAGTCTATGTCTTTTGGTTGGAGCATTTAATCCATTTACATTTAAGGTAATTATCGATATGTATGTTAACTGTTTTAGATTTGTTTTCGTAGGTCTTTTTTCTTCCGTACCTCTTTTGTTCTCTTGTGATTTGATGGCCATCTTTAGTATTGTGTTTGGATTGCTTTTTCTTTTTTGTTTATCTGTTGTAGTTTTTTGGTTTGCGGTTACCATGACGTTTTGATATAGCCGTCTATATATATACAAGATTGTTTTAAGTTGCTGGTATCTTAGTTTCAAATGGATTTCCAATATCCTGTGTTTGTACTCTCCTCAAAACCTCTTTGCTGGTTTTGATATCATATTTGTGTGTGGATGATTCCCTACCTTTACTGTATGTTTGCCTTTACTGGTGAGCTCTCCCATTTGTAATTGTTTGTAGTTGTAAAGTTCCTTTAGCATTTGTTGTAAAGCTGGTTTGGTGGTACTGAATTCTCTTAGCTTTTGCTTGTCTGTAAAGCTTTTGATTTCTCCATCAAATCTGAATGAGAGCATTGCTGGGTAGAGTATTCTTGGTTGAAGGTTTTTCCCTTTCATCACTTTAAATATATCTTGCCCCTCTCTTCTGGCCTGCAGAATTTCTGCTGAAAAATTGGGGATTCCCTTGTATGCTATTTGTTGCTTTTCTCTGTCTTTAATTTTTGTCAATTTTATTAATATGTGTCTCAGTGCGTTCCTCCTTGGGTTTAACCTGTATGGGACTCTCTGCGTTTCCTGGACTTGAGTGTTTCCTTTCCTGTGTTAGGGAAGTTTTCGGTTATTATCTCTTCAAATATTTTCTCCGGCCCCTTCTCTCTCTCTTCTCCTTCTGGGACCCCTATAATGTGAATTTTGGTGCATTTAATGTTGTCCCAGAGGTCTCTGGGATTGTCTTCATTTCTTTTCATTGTTTCTTCTCTTTTCTGTTCCACAGCAGTGATTTCCACCAACCTGTTTTCCAGCTCCCTTATTTGTTCTAGTACTTCATTTATTCTGCTGTTGATTCCTTCTACTGTATTTTTCATTTCAGTTACTGTATTGTTCATCTCTGTTTGTTCTTTAAATCTTCTAGCTCTTTGTTAAAACACTTCTTGTATCTTCTCAGTCTGTGCCTCCATTCTTTTTCCATGATCTTGGATCATCTTTACTATTGTTATTCTGAGTTCTTTTTCAGGCAGACTGCCTATCTCCACTTCACTTAGTTGTTGTTCCAGGGTTTTATCTTGTTCCATTGTCTGGAACATATTTCTCTGCCATCTCATTTTGTCTAACTTTCTGTGTTTGTGGGCTCCGTTCCTTGGGCTGCAGGACTGTAGTTCTTCTTGCTTCTGGTGTGTGCCCCCTGGTGGGTGAGGTTGGTCCAGGGGCTTGTGCAGGTTTCTTCACGGGAGGGACTGGTGTCTGCCCACCTGTGGGTGGAGCTGGATCTTGTCCCTCTGATGGGCAGGGCCATGTCAAGGGGTGTGTCTAGAGGTGGCTGTGAGCTCAGGACAACTTCAGGCAGCCTGTCTGTTGACGGCTGGGGCTGTGTTCCCACCCTGTTGGTAGTTTGGCCTGAGGCATCCCAGCACTGGATCCTGCAGGCTGTTGGGTGGGGCCAGGTCTCAGTGCCAAAATGGCAACCTCCAGGAGAGCTCACCCCAAAGAATATCCTGTAGGGGCCTCCCTCTGCCGCCAGTGTCCTTGCCCTGGCAGTGGGCCACAGATGACCCCCATCTCCTCAGGAGACCCTCCAAGACCCACAGGTAGGTCTGGCCCAAGCTCATATGGAGTCACTGCTTTGCCCTGGGTTCCAGTGGATGTGAAACCTTGTGTGTGCCCTCCGAGAGTGGAGTCTGTTTCCCCCAGTCCTGTGGAGCTCCTGCACTCAAGCCCCACTGGCCTTCAAAGTCAAATGTTCTGGGGGCTCCTCCTCCTGATGCCAGACCCCCAGGCTGGGGAGGCCTGACGTGGGGTTTAGAACTCTCACTCCTGTTGGAGAGCCTCTATGATATATATTTTCCAGTTTGTGGGTCGCCCATCTGGTGGGTATGGGATTTGATTATATTGTGAAAGTGCCCCTCCTACCATCTCGTTGTGGCTTTTTGTCTTTGGATGTTGAATATCTTTTTTGGTAGGTTCCAGTCTTTTTTTGTTGATGGTTGTTAAGCAGTCAGTTGTGATTTTTGTGTTTTCGTAAGAGAAGATGCACTCAAGTCCTTTCTACTCCACCATCTTGTCTCCTGTAATTTTTTTCTACTGTCTGTTTTCTATTTCCTCATGTTTTGCTCTTATATTTATTATTTCTTTCTTACTTACTTTGGGTCTACTTTGTCTTCTTTTTCTAGTTTCTTAAAGAGAAATCTAAGTCATTAACTTTAGGGCTTTTTCTCTAATTATAAATGTCCCTTCTGATCACTGTTAGTTGCATCCCACAATTTAAATATATACTTTAACATTTAATTCTATATATTTTCTAATTTCCTTTATCTGACCTATGGATTATATAGGAATGTGTTGTCAATTTCTAAATATTCGGTGTTTACCTGGATACCTTACTGTTACTGATTTCTGATTTAATTCCACCGCGGCTGGAGAACATATTCTGTATGATTTCAATTATTTTATCCTCTACAATGCAGTGTTATAATTTGTGCTTAAAATAGTTCTATGTATTTAGAGAAATTAAAAGGAGGAAAAAATCTTTTATAGTTACCCAGCTGTTTACCATTTTTTAAAGTGTTTTGTATTTTTATTTAGTTATAATTGACATACAACACTATATTAGTTTCAGGTGTACAACATAATGATTCAATATTTGCATATATTGCAAAATGATCACCATAATAAACCTAGTTAACATCTGTCACCATGTATAGTTACAGAATTTTCTTCTGGTAATAACAACTTTTAACATCTACTCTCTTAGCAACCTTCAAATATGCAGTACTGTATTAACTACAGTTGCCATGTTGTACATTATAACCCCATGACTTATTTACTTCATAACTAGGAGTTTGTACCCTTTTGACTCCCTTCACCAATTTTGCACCCCAACTCACTCATCTGGCAACCACCAATCTGTTCTCTGTAAGATTCCACATATAAGTAAGATCATATGGTATATGTCTTTTTCGCTTAGCATAAACCCCTTAAGGTCCATCCATGTTGTCAAAAATGGCAAGAGTTCATTCTCTTTTAACGGCTAAATAACGGCTAAATACTGCGTGTGTGTGTGTGTGTGTGTGTGTGTGTGTGTGTATACACACACACATCTTCTTACCCACTGACCCATCAGTAGATGTTTAGGTTGTTTCCAACTTGGCTATTGTAAATAATGCTGCAATGAACATGGGGGTGTGTACAGCTTTTGGGGTTCGTGTTTTTGTTTTCTTTGGATAAATACCCAGAAGTAGAATCGCTGGATTATAGGGTAGTTCTATTTTTAATTTTTTGAGGAACCTCTGTACTGGCTGCACCAATTTACATTCCCACCGACAATGCATAAGGACTCTCTTTTCTCCACATCCTTGACAACACTTGTTATTTCTTATCTTTTTGATAATAGCCATTCTGACAGATACGAGGTGATATTTCATTGTGGTTTTGCTAGTTACCGTTTTTGGTGCTTTTCATTCCTTCCTAAAGATCCAAGTTTATATCTAGTATCATTTCCTTTCAGCCTTAAGAACTTCCTTTAGCATTTCTTACATTGCACATTTACTGGTGATGAATTCTGTTAGCTTTTCCTTGTCTCACAATGTGTTTCTTTTGCCTTCATTCTTGAAGGATATTTTCATTGGATACAGAATTCCAGGGTGACAGTTTTCTCCTAACAGCATTTTAAAGACGTTGTTCCACAGTGTCTTCTGGCCTTCATAGTTTCTGACATGAATTTATAAAAGATGAGAGTCACTGTTCTCTTTATAAGTAATCTATCATCTTTCTCTGGGTGGTTTCAAAATTTCTTCTGTATCTTTGGCTTGTAGCTGCTTGACTGTGACGTGCCTGGGCATGGGTTAGGAGTTGTTGGGTTTCTTAAATCTGTATGTATGCATCTTTCACTAAATTTGGAAAAATTTTAGCCACTATATTTTCTAATTTTTTTTCTGCCTCACAAGAAATTTTTCCTACCCAGAGAGACTATGAAGGGCAGACAACAGTGTAATTAACATCTGTAAAGTACTATTAGGAGAAAACGTCAAATATCCAGTGAAAATATCTGGCAAGAATGAAGGCAAAATAAAATACATTTTCAGACAAGGGAAAACTAATAGAATTATAACCAGTAAGCCTGTAATACAGGCAATGTTCTTCAAGGACATAATTGCATTTAGAACTCTACTTCCTAGTTTTAAGTCCATTACTTCTTACGGTCTTTATGGTGTTTCTCTCTCTTTTACTTAAGGAATTAAGAAGCTGCATCTTACCTGAGAAAAATATTCTTCTGAGATACGTGCGGCCCACTCAATGCACTGCTCCAGGGGTCGGCAGGGATTGGACACGTCAGCACACTTAATCAGCATTCGTTTGATCAGACTGCGGTTGTCTGGAGTTCTGAGCATAGTGATTATGGCTTCTTGATTTTTATCAGTTTCCTAAAACGTGAGTGGAATTCAAAGCAATCAAAATGGGGCCCCAGGTGCCAAGCTGGTTTACTCCTGTGGTCCCACTGTGACCACACTAAGGCACTGCCCAGGATCTACAAGTTAGGATCTCACAAAACAGTGCTGAGGATACTCTGCGGATTGAGCTTGGCCCCTTACTCGACAAACGGGAAAACCAAGGCCTAGTGAGATTCCAGCAGGACCCAGAAGTAGAGGGTAGCGCTGGAGGTTGGCATGTCTGCCTTTCCTCTTCTTTTTGGCTCTTCCTCTCACTCTGTTTCTCACAGCTACCTTTTCTTTCTGTTCTATTATGTCTATCATGCTCCCTTGGTAAGCACTCAAAAGACTGGCTTTATCTTTTATTATATTCACTAAAAAACAGAGTGAACTGAAAAATAAAAGATTTCTCTGCCCTCATAACAAAGCATCTTATAGTCCACCAGGGGCTCTGCTTCTCACACGCCACTCTCCAGTCACCTAGCTCTGTGAGAGGTGTGATCTTGGGAACTAGCTGTCCATGTACCAAGGCTGTGTCAGATACAGTGATACGTCCTCAACACTGCCCTAACATTTTATGGTGTACAGAGGACTTAGTCATTCTCTTTTGGTCTGCGCTCACAAAAAGGTCCTGTGGTAGGCATGAAAATCAGTATTATTTACTATTACATTTTACAGATGAGAACCCTGGGACTCTGAGAGGTGAAGAAACTTATCCAAAGCTACCCAGCTGAGCCAGGATAAGAACCTAAGTTCTACCTTTAGTCCTGGATTCTGTCTATTCACAGTACCACATGCTATCTGATTCACAAGGAGCCCCTCTGGATATGGAATCTCAATCCAGGGTGTGAGGGACTCTCTGCTTACTGGCCCCCTGAAGCAAATTCAGATTGGAAGAGGGAGTACTGGGGCAAAGAACATGGTAAAAGGCATGAGCAAGCATCTCCTCATTCTGATCCTGTGCCCATCGGGCAACTTTCCAGAGGAGTCAGTCATGTGATTTCTGTGAGTAGTCACAGTAGTCTAAGAAGGCCTGATGATCCTATCTCAGTGGGGACAGATCTACCATCAAGATGGGTAGGAGGCATCCCGAGCCTAGGCTGCCTAGTCTCCTGGAGAGCGCCAGAGTGGACACTGGGAGTGTCCTCAGTAGTTCTCCTTGTTTCCCACTGCCAACCAGGTTTGTGCTGACCCTTCTCTCTTCAGGTGTGTGACTACACTGACTACAGTACTTGCCAGCTGGAAACTATTTTCTTTCATGATACTTTGTCCCTGCTCTGACCCGCTGGATACTGATTTCCAGTCTCTCAGAAGTAACTCCAAGTACCGACGAAAGAGATGAGAAACGTTGACTGTCAAGTGGAATGGAAGACTCAGCTAAGTCTAGGAACTTCCCAGAATAGATGGAGGAAACCCAAGTCTACGAGGTATGTGGTTTCTTTCTGTGGGAATGGGGTCAGCCAGGAGCAGTAGCCCAGGCAATAACCAGCCCTCTCCAGGATGGCAGGGCATGAGTCAGTGAGAGGCTGGTGTGGGTGCCTCTGCTCTGCAAGTCCTTGGGAAGGGAGTGAGGTCAAAGGCAGACTGACAAACTGGAGAACAGGGAAGGGTGAGGGGAGCAGAGTTCTCAACAGGTTTCCAATCAGGTGAAACAGGAACAAGGGTGAAGGGTAATAAGCTAGAAAGCCAGAGATAGTCAAAAGCCATGGCCTAACACATGAGTTGCAGAAGTAGAGTTAGAATTCAAGGAGCTGTCATCCTAGCCTGAGGATAAGTCATCCCTGTGCGTGGTGACAGGCGCTGGGGAGGAGGAATGTGGAAAAGGCTGTGAGCTGATGCCGAGATGTTCAGTGCACATGGGGTGGTAGGGCAGGCACGTGGGCCTCAAAGGAAGAGGGTTCATGAGAAGAGCATGTTCTCTAGGTGCTGCTCTCACCATGAATCTAGTATAACAGATACCATCTATTCAGTGCCTACCTTGTGCCATGCCCATCAGTCCTATGCCTTGAGACCTGTTATACCCATTCTACAGACAAGGAAGTGGTGAAGGAGAACTAGGATGAGAACTCAGACTGGGCTGCTTCCTCAGCCGTGGTCTCCTGCCTGGGGAAAGGGTTAATGTCCTCCTTGCCAGGAAGTTGTTCTGGGCTCCATGCCTCAAATCCAAAAATGAGGAGCAACGATAATATCACCCTTGTGGGCCAAATACAGAATCCTTCCCAACCCCACCCTCCTCTGACACAGACCAACAGAGGACAGCTGCTGCTACCACAGAATATGCACGGCAGGGCGTGGCTGGTGAGAGACCTCATGGGCTCCAACGGACCCCAAAATGCACAAGAAGAGGGGAAGGGGGCAACTGTTGAGAAAGGGCTCAGGAATGGCCCACCCATCTAAAGGTAGTTTATCTAAAACCTGACCCTCCCTTCAGAGTTTTCATATCTATTTTTGTATATCCTATTTTTTTTTCCTTCCAAGTTTTTGTACTTTCACTTTTTAACCAATGGAAATTAAATTCAGTGAGCCCAATGGTGGTAATGATAACACTCATGATATCCCAGGCCCATGCTTCCCCACAACACATAGGGATAAGGGCCCCAAACAGGCTCCCTCTGCAACCAGCTCGCTTACCCCATCTTCCTCTAATGCTGCCAAGGGCTTGTTGACGCTGTTGACAAATTTGTTGACGTGCTCAAAGTGCTTTGTCATTTCTGTGGCTAAGACCATGTCGATAATGCTCTGGCGCAGCATCTGGTAGTCATTCCTGTTTCAGACAACAAACGAGAGAGGCTGCTGCCGATTACTGATCCAGACCAGACAGATGTTCCTGAAAACAAGCTATTATCTAGGACACATGTCCACTGTGGCTAAAATTCTAATGCACTGGAAGTCAGTGGCAGGGCATACTTTAAAAAGAATGTGGAAGTTAAAGGTTTTACTGCCTAGATTGCTGTTAGCAAGGGGAACCTGAACAGAAGTTCAAATCAGAAGCTTATGGGTAAGACTATAGACACAATGTTCATGGTGTTGTCGTTCTGAAGTAAAAAGCACATAGTTCTTAAGATAAAAAAAGATGGAATGCAGCAGGGGTGACCAAAGCCAGCTCTCTGAATGAAGACAGCTCTCTGAATGAAGACGGAGGTCTGGGTTATGAAGAATGTACCCTACACAGAGGAACCTTGAGACCCAATAATTCTAGTGCCCAGAAACGTAGAGGGCAGACCTTCTGAAAGCTGAGAGAATCACAGGGCATACTTGATTACCTCTTCCTCCAGCCCTTGTTTTTATTTAATTGCTTTAAAATTTTTATTTTTTGAGGATGGAAATGATATATTTAAAAATTCAAAAGGTACATAAACTGCAATCTCCATTCAGCCCCAGCTGCCCTGCTCTTTTCCCTGGAGACAACCAAAGTTATCAGGGTCTTGTGAATTCTTCCAGAGGTAACTGATATATACACAGGCAACTATGAATAAAACCAACTTTAAGTCCACATATGAAATTCTAAAACATGGCAAAAGGGAGTTATTTTTTAAATCCCTTAAAAGTTTAAAAGCCTTCCTTAAAAATCCAAATTGGTAAGTGTTCCTCATGACAGATCACTTCTTCCACCTAACAGTTATCAGGCCCCACGCTAGACACCTGAGGGCACAGCGAGGAAGAGAAGACATATGACACTGTGATCTTACAGCACTTAACAGTCAAACCAGAATCAGGCAGACGAAGGAACCTGGGACTGAATAATTAATGTGAGGGGTCAGGGAAGGCTTCCGCAAAGAAGTGACGTGTGAACAGAGACGACGACGAGACGTCTGCTGGGCAGAGTGGAGTCTTCCAGGCAGAGATGTAAGGTGACAGCTTCTCTGGGTCTCTCAAGGTGTCTGCCTTATACTTTGTCGTCTTGGAATGTCAAGACACAAAGGAACTGAACCTTGAAAACATCGTGCTAAGTGAAAGAAGCCAGACACAAAAGACACATATTGGGGATGCTTCCATTTATATGAAATGTGCAGAACTGGCAAATCTATGGAGAGGGAAAGGAGACCTAGAGCTGTGGGAGTTGAGGGGGGAATGGGGAGAGACTGCCAATGAGCTCGAGGTTCTTTTGCGGGGTGATGGAAATGTTCTAAATTTCGACTGTAGTGATGGTCACACAACGCTGAATAGAAGAAAAACCACTGTACACTTTAGACGGGTGAACTGTAGAGTACGTGAATTATATCTTAATAAAATTGCTTTTTAAAAAAAGAGAGAGGAAACATACTTTCCAACTCGTTGCTCTTACCTCTCCATGTTTTTAAAGATGTTGCACTTATCATCACCAGTGGTCAGCTGGAAGGCCAAGGCCGCGTGGTGTCTCTCGAGCACAGCAGTGTCGTTATACAGAATGGCCAGCTCACTCCCAGCATTGCACAGGAAGGAGTTGGTTCTCCCGGGGTGGTCCAGGTCATGGACAGTGGCTGCAATGAGGGCAGTGACCTCATCAAGTGGATCTAAAGTTTGCTGAAAACAAGAGATCATTTAAAAATTGGGGCAAGGCATTGAAAGCAAGGTAGCCTTCTGGGTAGTAGTTTTCTTTCTGCCCTATTACTTTAAGGTAAGGATATTTCTGAGAAGCATAATGTTGAGCAAACTCAGTTTTCCCATCTCCACTCAGACACAGTTTCATCTTTGCATGTTTATTAGGAAACATTATCTGATTCTCAGTCTCACACAAGTTAAGGACTTACCAAGACACAGGGTGTCCTCAACAGACAGGAGTCACCTCCTCAGAAAGTCTGTCTCTAGACCCATCACAAAAAAAGGCCTTTAGTCTGAGATATTGACTTAGACCAACATAAACTAGTATTAATAAAAGAGAGAAATAATTTTTTAAGTTATGCATCTCTTACATTAACTGGGGATTGGTCTATAGTTTTCTCCCCCCTTCTGCTGCTACCTTTGTCAGGTTGATTTCAGGGTTTTGTGACTCTGTAAAATGATCTGGACGTTTTCCATCTTTTTCAAGACTTTGAAACGGTTTATGTAACATGGAAAAATTCCTTAAAGGGCTAAAGAACTCACCTGTCCATCTGGGTCAGGAGCCAGGTTTTGAAGAAATTAGCTGATAGTTTAAAAACAACTCCCATGGTACTGACCTCTCTTGGTTTTCTACTTCCAGCATTAATTTGATTTAAAACTCTTAAGTACACAAGTGTATGGTACTTTCTTCTATTAATCTCCATTTCAAATGAGTGTATTTCTGTGTTTACTGTGTTTTTGATTAGTTTGGCTAGAACTTAATTCTCTTGGTGTTTCAAAGAATCATTCTGGATTACCACTTTGCTCTTCCCATTTTACAGGTTTTGATACATAGGCTTCTCATTTTGTTGTTTTCTACACTGTTATTTTTGGCTTTATTTCCTTGCTTATCCCTAAATTGTTTGAAATATTTTCTCATTGGTAGTGACTGACATTTTTTATTTAACTTTTAGTTATTAAATTCTAGTTTTTGTTGTGGTTAGAAAATACAGACTATGAAATTTTGAAGTTTATCAAGACAGTAGTTGTGTCCTAGTATAAGATCATTTTTGGAAATATTCTACAAACACTTGAAAACAAGGTGTATATCTAATAAATCAGTCTTGTAAAATTTATTTAAATTGAAATTCAACAGTTTTATCTTTAAATGGGTGAATTTTATGATGTGAATTATATCAGTAAATGCTATTAAAAATTAATAAGTTAGCTTTCTGAATATATATTTGTATGTTATCTATAGAGGAGTTCAAAATCAATAAATTGCAGCAAAAGTTAGGTTGTCTTTATATGCTGAACCATATTGACACAGACATCTCTCCTCTGCCATTTGTCTTCATGCTTTATAAAAACAGCCCTCTCTCTGGACTCTTATTATGCCTACAGTCTGTTGTTATTAAAACAACAACAACAACAACAAAACCCGAAAAACCAAACTAGAGGGAAAGAGAAAGAGCAAATGAGAGACCCAGCTCTGAGAAGATAGGATTTTCAGGGTGGGGAGTGACTCAACATGTCCACGTGCTGGAATCATCCCCACACGCTGCTCTCCTCCCTACAACTAACTAGTCTCAGGTACAGATGAGGTAGTGGGACCGGGATGCACTGGCCCTCACTCTGCTGACTGCCAGGGCTGGTCCTGGCCACCATGTGGCCTTCCTCAGTTGCCAGGACATCAGGCAGAGATGCCTCGCTGTCTTGCTGTCTCATTCCTCACGAGGCCCTGTTTCCTTAGGTACAAAACCAACAGTTTGATTCATCTGCTCTCAAGTATACAATACTTCTGAAAGTGAAATGGCCACGCACTAGAGCTCCCTGGACCCTCTGTGCCATTTTATGATGGATGCTGAAGGAAATAACACAAATACTTTGGCAAATCAGTGAAGGTCTAGTCGCTGCTTCGAAAATTTCCCCAATGAAATAACTGACAACATGAAAAGGCTCTCTAAGGAAGCTTGGTTTGGGAGTGGGCAGTGAGTAACATTCCCTGAATGGAACCTTTCTCCCGTGACGCCCTCCTTACTGGGGCCTACTCCCATCCCCCTATGGCCTCAAAGCTGGAGCTAAAGCTGCTACATGGCCCCCAGGCAGACCCTGGGCCAGTTGTGAATGGCCACCAGTAGGTGCCAGTGGCCACTGCACCTGATGCTAGGAGCCTCGCCCTTCCTCCCCTGCGCCGACGAGATGGAGCAGGACAGGCACTGGGCTACGAAAGGAGCCTGCCGTCCAAATGGAGTGGACGGTACAATCAGGAGGGTGCCCAGGAGGGTGTGGGGACACAGAGGAGGGTGCCCCAGGGAGGGCTTCCCAGAGGAATGAAGGCTGGTGTTGATTCCTGAAGGGCAGGGGGAGATGTGAGGGAAGCCGGCACCAGCAAAGGGAACGGCATGTCAAGGGCAGGAGCATTAGAATCTAAAGTGGTTCAGCACAGCCCAAACATGGCCTGTGTGTTGCGAGCGGTGCACACCATCTGTGGGGTTTAAAGCTTAAATCCTGTGGGAGATGGGAGGCTGCTCCTGGGACCCATATGGTCAGAGCGAGTTCCCTAGGAGGCCGGGTAGCCAGGAGTTCTTGTTTGGCACCATCTAGACGACAAATGACGGGGCCCTCACCGGGACGGTGGCAGGGGCGTTGCGAGGAGAAGACGATTCTGAGAACACTTAGGGGTTGTAGTCCGCAAGGTCAGATGACCTACCAGGTGCCGGGGGCTGGAGGAGAGGAGAGAACTGAAGATGACCCCAGGCTTCTGACATGGGTATCTGCCTGGATGATGGGACTCTGGGCCAGGCAGGTGACCCTGCGTGGGAGCAGTGCTGGGCAAAGATGATGAACTTGGTCTCAAACCCCACTGACTCTGAGGGATGCGGGGGGCCCTAAAGGGGCCATATCCAACCTTGCCTGCAGGGTCAGAGTAAGACCCCTCAGAAAAACAGCCTTCTCCTGTTCTTGCTGGCCTCCTCCCCGGAGAACGAACCCTGCTCCTTATTCTTCCAGGAATGGCTGGGGTCATGTCATGAATTCATTATCAACTCCCCAGAGCCACAGCGTGGCCTCCTGCCTGACTTCTCCTGTGGCCGCCCCTTTCCCGGGCCAGGCTGCACCCGTGCCGGGCCCTCCTGAGCAGTCACACTGCACAGCAGCCCGCCCCACTGCTCCTGCCTGTTAAGCGTGGAGCA